ATATTGGTTCTAAGATCTCCCAATCTGATGTGGTTAAACGTAAATATTGCAATTCTTTGTAATTATTATCAACACTCAATAATATATCTTATATCAACGAATTTTTCAATCATTAAATAAGTGTGTGTAATTCCGCCTTGTCTCAATGTCTATTTCAATTAATCTATAGTGCAAGACACCTACCTAGTCCCGCAACTTTTTATTGGTCTTGTAGATTCTTTAGCACTCCAAAAATGGAAATGTAACACCAAAAAAACAATCGTAGTTTTAAAGCTAAGACCTTTCTCTACAAGTTTACTATGTCAACCAAAACTGTCGTGTTACACGCGAATTGTAAATATTTGTCTGCCAACTGCAACCATCACTACTCGGTATATGAATTAAAAACTTTATAAAAAGAGCTACTCGAGGAATTTTCTTGTAAAAAATTGACGACTTTTAATAGAGTTTTGCCCCTTTGAAATATTTCTTTAATAACTTAAAGAGTAATTTCCTCTTTATCAAAATACTCCCACCCTTGGTAGGAGTATAAAGAAGAAAAAGTACTATAAGGAGAAAGAAGAGGCCCGAGCATTAGAAGATGAGTGATTGATGATGATGATGATGATGATGATATGGCGTTCGTTTATCCAATACCTATTTTATAGTAAGTGATAGCGCGTAAATCTTGTCGATTATAAATACTTACCAGTCATTGCATATTTATTTATAAAGAAAGCTTTGTTCTTTATCATCTCTAAAATATCATTTATCGGACGTAACATGATTCCTTTTTATTTTCCATTTATAATGACGCGTAAAACACTTCTTTATAAATGATGGCATTTTCGATTGATATTAGTTTCTAACAAATAACAATTTTGTTTCAAAAGGAGAATTAATTGCCTTCATAGATTTTCAGAAATACAAAAATAATCCGTTAAAGAATTTACGACATGATTGTTGTACATAGAATTTTGTAAATAGTCTTAATATATAGCCGTTTTTATCAGATTAAAATGTTGGGATAAAGAAAGAGATGAATCAGAAAATTTATTCAAAAACGGAATGGCAATGGTTTTACGTTGAAAAGAAAAAATAAATTTATCACATGACTATCAGTCATTCAAGGCCATTATTACTAAATCAGGTTTTTACACTTTAACATTATTACTATGTATGAATTGATAAATTCTTTTTCATTAAAAAAATATTATATACAATTACTATCGTAAGAGAAAAAGAAAATATTAAATTTTTATGATGGAGTGATATCATAAAACAATGCACATTCAGTAGTTCCACCTTCCCATCCTCTATTTCCTGAAGTTGTGATCATATAACGACACGTTTGATCAACCACTATATAAATAAAAGGTTTTAAGAAATGTAATAATAATACGCAAAAAAAACGAGTCTACCTTTTTATATACATAAAATTTTTTCACTTTTGTGATAAAGGAAGGATACAAATTTGGGAAATTGAGCCACCGTGATGTCCTGGTATAATTAAAAATGGTACAGCACTTTTAGATATTTCATATTCATCTGGAAAAACATTCCATAATCTAATATTATCAGTAGAAGCACTATATAAAAATAGGTAAATAATGCGGAATTCAAAAGTTTATATAATTATAAAAATAATTTATAAAAAAAAAATTAATTAATAAAACATGCTAACCATACTATATGTTTCCCATTAGGCATACTTAATACATAAGACACAGGACCGGAATTACTTGGCATCTTTAATGATCTTATAAATTTTCCTGAAAGAAAATCCCACTCATCCACTTTATTTAAAATATAACAATAATGATATTCAACTTATTAGGTTTAATTATTAATTATATAATTAATGATTTTAAATAATACTTTACCAGTACCATTACGTCTTCCACAATATATTTTGGAACCGTCAGCGCTCCAACATGCCTATATTAATAACTTATTAATAATATATTTTTCATAAATTATATATTATATAAATAGGTATTTTCTAAATACTGCTTACAGATAAACACCATGGAGGCGTTTTTTCAGGTGGAGGCATTTTTCTAGGTATTAAATTATTTGCTCTCCTATCCCAAACAAAACAGTTACCATCAATACTTGTAGTTAGCAAAATATCATTAGAATTAGTTAATGTATCTTCTGGACCGTCATATGGAGTTGGTGAATTTTGTGGTGATGATAGTTGAGAAGATGATGGAATTATTGGACGAAATGAAATAGAACTTATTTGTGAACTATGACCTGAAAATTCACGTTCCACTTGACCGGTATTAAGATCCCAATACTATTTATTATAAATAAATCATTATTATTAAATGTTATTTAAAAATAATAATCTTTTCAAAAAGTACATACTAATACAGTTTTGTCCCATGAACCACTAACACATCCAGTTTCTTCTTGGGTTATTTTCAGTACTGATACAGGTGCTTTATGATGTCTTAAAACATGATGACATCTACCTTCTTCATGCCTAACAGTGTATAAATTTATAGAGCCACTCTAAAAAATGTTCCAAATAATATTGCCGATTTACTAATTTATTATTAATTATATTATGATCACATTTATGTGTGACTATAGGGAAGAATGTAAATACCTCTAATCCGCTTAACAACCAAATTGCTTCTGATTGTACTGCTATGCTGTAAACTGATGATAATTTTATTTCAGATGAAGACGGTTCTGATATATTTTGTGATGTACCTTCTTCACCATTACCATTAACCTTGTCTATATATTATATATTATTATTAATTTAAAATTAGATATTTTTTAAAAATAAATAATTCATTTATCTGAATAAATAAAATTGACCTGATTTAGGAGTTGGAGGTGGTTGCTCTTCATTTTCCCAATATGACACAATAACCCCTGCCTATGAATTAAAAAAATTTCATTTTGGAAAAAAATGTTTTATATTTTATTATTATATATTGGATAAATTTAATACCTATCGCACCTTTTGGACAGACTCGACTTGAGTATGTTTTTGATTTTGTGTTAATAATGTTTTACCACTCATTGAGGCAAAAAAATCATATTTCCTTATGAACCCATCATCGCCTCCAGTAAAAACCCAACGCATATTTTTTGTAACATCAAGAGCATGAACAAAGAGGGTCCGGCTTCATCAATAACAGGTTCTTCTACATAACTTTTAAAGTTAACAAATTTTAACTTGAATTTTTTCAGAAACTAAACCAACAAGCTACCGTCTGAAATAGGCGAGCGTTCATGTACTTCTCCTTCGTTTTCTGAACTTTGTTGTGATTCTCTAGAAGATATTTCATCTTCACTATAACCATCCATTTTTTCTTATAAGAACGACGCGCAAAGACTATTGTGTGTTATTATTGATTGATGTAAATAAATATATTCTAAACTTTGTGCAGATCATCAATCAAAATTTTTTGATAAAATAGTTGAAACAAATTTGTAGAATGGCAACTGTTTTCAAGGCAGCCAAAGCTCAAGTTGATACAAAAACAAATAATGATAATAATAATAAAGAAGAGTCTAAGGGAAAAAAACCTATTAAGAATAAACAAAGAGTCCTTGCATTATCTACCAGAGGAATAAATTTTCGGTAATGCGATTATAAATTTTTTTTTTAAACATTGTAATAATATCATTAAAAACTTTTTTTTTTTTGCTTTTATAGACAAAGACATCTTTTGAATGACCTTGAGACCCTTTTCCCTCATTTTAAAAAAGGTAATGTAAAATTAAAATATCGAATCATAAATCATATAAACAAATCATACAAATCAAAATTGATCTAATAAAATAAATTTAGACTCAAAACTTGATCAGAAATACAATCTTTCAGTTTTAAACGAACTTGCTGAATTAAACAATTGTAATAATTGTGTTTTTTTTGAGGCACGTAAAAAACAAGATTTGTATATGTGGACCAGTAAGGCACCTAATGGTCCTAGCATCAAATTTCATGTACAAAATAGTAGGTTTTTTTTAAATATTATTATTATCATTTAATTAAATTAAATGAATGTCTTGGAAAAAAAGACTGATGTATATAATTGATTAATAAGTTCATACAGTCGATGAGCTTAAAATGACAGGAAATTGTCTTAAAGGATCTCGACCAATCCTCTCATTTGATAAAAAATTCGATTCAGAACCTCATTGGATTTTAATAAAAGAAGTTTTCACACATGTAAGATAACATCTTTTGTTGATTGGATAGATATAACTATTTTTTTATAATAAAAACTTTTTAACCTTTAGATTTTTGGAGTACCAAAAGGTACTAGACGTTCAAAACCATTTATAGATCATGTAATTTCATTCACAATAGCGGATAATCGAATTTGGTTTCGTAATTTTCAGGTATTAATTTATATGAGTGTGCATATACATGCATATGTTTGCGTGACAATTATTTTGTTTTAACAAATACTTTTATTCCTTGGTAACAATAGATCACCGAGAAAGATCCTACGCATCCTAACAAAAAACCTAATGAAAAAGACATTTCTTTGTTGGAAATAGGGCCAAGATTTGTTATGAATCTTATTAGAATTTTTGAAGGAAGCTTTAATGGAGCAACCTTGTTTTCAAACCCTGAATTTGTTTCTCCTAATGCAGTAATGATATTATTATTTATTCTTCTTCTTTATTCATTATTATATTTATTATATTCATTTTTTTAAAAAAAATTATTAGATTCGCCGGAGCCTTAGAATGGAAAAAGCGAATAAATATCAAAAACGATTACTTGCTAAAAATGAAAGAAGATACAAAATTGACAATAGTGATTTACCTGAAAACCCTATGGACGATGATTAATCATCTTAAAAAAGGGGATTTGAATATATTTCTTTCTTTTTGCATGCACTATATAAACTATTAATAATAATATTATCCTTTTTAAAGTTACAGAAAAATTAAATAATTAATAAAAATTAAATTTACATTAAAGTCTTTAATAATTAAACAATGATTTTATTAAGGGTTAAATGATATGGTGTGATTTTTAATTAGTCTAAGATAGTTTTACAATAAATATTAAATAAAATTTGTAACTGCAGCCCTGCTGCATCAGTTCTAAAAGATGATTTGTTTTTATGACATTCCGGACCTGTTCTCCATTCTCTTCCATCAATAATACCAGCATCCCATATATGAGCACCAATATTTTTTGCTAGAGTGATTGTGACATTTCTGACTTGTTGAATAAGAGTCCTTGTAGTGGTTTTGGGGTGTGGTGTGAGTGTGTAAGGTTCAGGGGTACGAATTATTATGAGGGAAACAGGATAAATTTTACGAAGCTTATTGAAAAATAGAGTCAACACCTGTTCAAATCTGGATATTGAATAGTCTGCTGGTATATCATTTGACACAGAAACCAATACAACGTTTTCTTTAGGTATTTGATCTTTCATGAAGTTTTTTGATGATAAACTTAACCATTCCAAATTTTGTATTATTTTCATTGGTTGAAAATAGATTGAACCATCAAATGCTGTTGATTTAAGATGTGCAAAGGGTAATCTTGGTAAAAGTGTAAACGGTGGAACTTTGCAGTCACACACAGGTAGTTTATGGTATCTCGCCACACTACACCACCGCTCACCAGCATGGCCTACTGATGTGCCATATAAATTACTGATGAAATTTATAAATTAGAGGTTGACATATATGAATAAGTAAATTTATTTTAAAAAAAATTTTTTATATACAAACCTCCAAAGTATTTCATCGCCATATGCATGAATTGTATGATTTCTCATACAGATTAATTGTTCCAATGGAGAGACATATTTCATTTTACATTTTGTGGGAACATATAGAATATCATCATCAACCTCCATCATTGATTCGTAATGAGCATATGGATGAAAGGAATTATAATATTCTTCAAACATCCAAATTCCAGAAAAATCAGAATTAGCATTACAAGATGGTAAAGTATTATTTGGAAGAAAAGATCTATTCTTCAATGTGACTATTAACCTATTTTCAGATTGAAGGGAAATATTATAATTTTTAAAATAATCGATTTCCAGATCAACATTGATTAAATAATTTCCAGGATATTTGATATAAGTTAATCCTCTGAAAATATTTGAATGTTTTTTAGTTTTTATCATTGAAATAGGTTGAATAATTTGATTACTGACTATTCTTGCAAATATGTTATAAGGAGTGAACTTTTTAATTAATATTGATTTTTTAAGAATACTTTTTGGTAACTTTTATTCCCCCCCACAAAAAAAATAAATAAAATATTATATAAATATTAGGAGAAAAATTATATGAATTATTATTTAATGTTAATATATATATACTCACTGCTACTATAATACAAATAGGAGTTCCTTTATGTATGTTTTCAATAACTAAAAATTTCATTTAAAAAAGAAAAGTCTTTAATTATTATTATTATAAATATAAAGTTTTAAACAGTTTGATCAAGCTTGAAATCTTTACCTATTTCTCTACTATCTGTTACAAAATCATTTTTATATGCATATGAAATAAATGGTTCTGTTTTATTCCATAATTCGTTTCTAGAAAATTTTTTGTCAGATTTAATACATTATTAGTTAACAATCCAAAAAAGA